CATGCATCGCCGCAGTCTCCAGTATTATCGATAGCATCTTGACATCGCATCCATACGAGTCCGCTATAGCTTATTCCCTAGGTTGACATGGATAGCCTATTTATATGTTAGCTCGACCTGCATGAGAGTTTGCTAGCGTAACGTACCTTCTTGTTGGTGTATGCCTCGAGACCAGCCTCGCCCAGCTCTCTGCCAATACCAGACTGTTTCACACCCCCGAATGGAATACGGATATCGGAATCGTTGCTCGAGTTTATCCAGACCATGCCCGCTTCAATACGTCTGGCAACGCGATGAGCCTTGGTGATGTTCTCGGTGAAGACGGCTGCACCGAGACCGTATGTTGTGTCATTGGCACGGTTGATCGCCTCCTCCTCCTCCTTGAACGAGCTGATGACGACGAAAGGACCAAAGACTTCTTCGCGGTAGATCTTCATGTTGTCCTTGACGTTTGTGAAGATGGTGGGTGAGACGAAGAAGCCCTTGCCACCAGCGTTCTTGTACGCTTCTCCACCTGCGATAAGAGTGGCGCCCTCCGACTTGCCAGACTCGATGTACGACAAGACGCGGTCGAACTGCGTCTTGGTGACCTGCGGTCCCTGGAATGTGTCGTCTTTGAAAGGATCGCCAACCACAGAGGTGGTCTTCACGTGTTCCTTGAACGCTTCGACAAACTTGTCGTAGATGCCTTCTTGCACCAGAATTCTTGATGTTGCTGTGCAGACTTGACCTTGATTGTACCTGCATCCTGTTAGCTCAGTTGGAAGGCGAACGTAGACACGACTTACATGATGCCAACGTGACTCCATTTGACTGCTTGATCAAGGTCTGCGTCGTCAAAGACTACTAGAGGTGATTTACCACCTGTCTCAAGGGTGATATTCTTCATGTTGACAGCTGCCATCTTCATGATCTCCTTTCCTGTGGCTGTAGATCCAGTAAATGCAATCTTGTCGACGTCGAGATGTTGTGCCAGAGCTGCACCAGCTTTCCTTCCCTCGCCGTTGATGAAGTTGATGACACCAGGAGGGAAGCCAGCCTCCTTGACCAAGTTTCCGAGGTACAGGATAGAGAGGGGTGTTTGTTCAGCTGCCTTCAAGACTACTGTGTTACCAGTGCAAAGAGCAGGTCCTAGCTTCCACGCTGCCATTGCAAGAGGGAAGTTCCATGGAATGATCTGACCACACACACCAAGAGGCTCACGGACCGTGTATGCCAATTTGAGGGGCGAGGTATCAATGACAGTGCCGTGGATCTTGTTGGCATAACCTGCGTAGTACTTGATAGTGCCAACGACCTCACCCAGATCGTCGTTCAGCGAGACAGAGTAGGGCTTGCCGTTGTCCCATGTCTCGATGGTGGCCAGAGTTTCCTTGTGTTCTTCGATCAATTGGGCAAACTTGTAGAGAAGGTCAGCTCGGGCATTCGTGTCCATGTCTCGCCAATCTGGGTTCTTGAACGCTTTCCGCGCTGCTGCTACGGCATCGTCCACATCTTCGGGTCCAGCGGCATAAACGGAGACGATCTCGCTCTCATCACTGTACCATGTTAGTCATAGCTACCAATCAAGACAGCAAGCGTACCTCGGGTTGATCGAAGTGATAGTCTCGCCCGACTTTGACTTGACGAATTCATTGTTGATGAAGAGACCTCTCGGCTGCTGGTACTTGCGACCATTCGGCGCAGTAAGCTCAACGAAGAGGTCAGACATGTTGGTTTGAGTACTGTAGTGTCTCCACAAGGGACGGTAACAACTTCTAGGAGCTCTGCGTATGGAAGTTTGAAAGGGAACAGATGGTTTGGAGCGAAGTGAAGCGCGTGTGAGGGCGGAGTAGAGACAGGACATCTCCTGGCCGGCGAGGAGACAGCTAGCTATCTATAGGCTGCAGACATGTAGGACGCTGATGACGACCCGCGGGACAGCCGTAGCTTCCCTTGATAGTGTGGACCCCGCCATCGATGCCCGTACCTAGCTTATCCGCATGCAACTGCCTGTTTCAGACGCCCGTCGTCCCAGTATCGGCCTCTCTCACCAACTTTATCAACCACGGCTATAGATGCGACACGTCCCCGAGGTCCACGGGCTGAACAGACGCGTGCCGTCATGTGAGTAGGCGAGGCGGGCTGGGCAGTCGTCGCGCGACGCGTCGGCGTCCAGAGTCGGCAACAGCCCTGTCGCTACCCCACCACCACCACGAGAAACCCAGCGCGCGCATCCAACAATCTTCTTATTCCCGATCCTGCGCAAACCGAGACTCCCCACCGACTACACACCGGCCGCAATCCAACGTTTGTCACACAATGTCGCGAGGCAGCACCACAAAGATACAAACCCACTTACTCAGACTGCCGCAGACTCTCGCCGCACTCCCTCTCGCCCTCGCAGACCCCACCGTAGACATGGTGGAAGAAGCGACGCTGCCCGTTACCCCCGAAGCCGAACGCCCCGATGCCTCGATAGACGTTGCCCACTCGCTCGAATACTGGAATAATGTCTCGCCAGACGTCAATGGCATGCTGGGCGGGTTTCCCCAAACTTCGCGCATCGATCTGCAGGGTTCTTCAAATTTCCTCACAAAATTGCGCCGGGGCAAGGCGCAAGGTTCTAGGGAGCCGCTGCCGCCTCTGGATCGTGTGGCGGACTGTGGCGCGGGCATCGGACGTATAACGAAAGGCTTGCTGTTGGGCGTCAGTAAACAAGTGGATATAGTAGAGCCAGTGAAGAAGTTCACAGATGAGCTGGTACAAAGCCTGGGGAACGGCGAGTACGCCGGAGACGGAGATGCAAAGTCTGGCAAGGGCCAGGTAGGAGAAGTCATAAACCTGGGGCTGCAGGACTGGATACCGGAGCCTGGCGCATACGATGTGATCTGGAACCAGTGGTGTGTCGGACACTTGACGGACGCCCAATTCGTCGTCTACATGCGGAGGTGTGGCGAAGGCTTAAAGAAGGCAGAGGGCGATGCGACAAGCCGGAGCTGGATTGTAGTCAAGGAGAACATGTCTACGGATATCCACCACAAGGACATCTACGACGATGAAGACTCGAGCGTTACGCGGTCAGATAAGACGTTCAGGGCTCTGTTCCAGGAAGCCGGACTGAAGATCGTGGCGACGGAGCAACAAAGAGGGATGCCGAGGGAGTTGTTCCCGGTCAGGATGTATGCGCTCAGACCTGAGTAGGGGTATGGAAAGTCCTTCTGTTAGTGGCTAGGGTGTCAGGCGCAGGAATCATGATACCCCAGGCGTCTTTATTAGAATGAACGCTATTACCATGCTTACACTCATCTCAACCCTATGGTAGCAAAACTGCCGTACCCCCATCGTGCCTCTACACCTCACCAATCTCCACAAACTTATGCGCAAATCCAAGCGAAAGCACCGGTACCCCGTCCACAGGTTCATGCACCGGCAACTTCCCCACCGTGACCTTCTTCCTCGCCACCTTCGGCTTCGCAGCATCCTTCTCTTCCGTTTGCGCTCCACCAGACGTATCCATCACGTCTTCAAATTCCTCTTCCTCCTCTTCTTCCTCCTCGTCCTCTTCCTCGCCTTCTTCCTCACCGTCATCCGCACCCTGCGCACCGGGATCCGGGTAACTAGCCGGATACTTCTGCCTGAGATACTTGATATCGAAAACCTCTTGATGCGCATGTTTCCAGAGATCCACAATCTCATCCGCGGAAAGCACATTTTTAACGCGAGTAGTTGGTATAGCCTCAGAGTCTAGCCGTTCCGACTCAGGTACAGCGTCTTCGTCGTCTTCCTCTTCTGTAGCAGTGGTGGTTTCTGGCTTCCGTGGTGCGATACCCCATTCTTCGGGTACAAAACACCATTCTGACGCTTTGCGGATTCGCTCTTCGACCCAACTTTCCTCCATGGGCTCGAGCCTCTTTCGCAGCAATGTGCCTGCCATTCCTGCTGCCATACCGCCCCCAGCATTCATCGGAAAAGAAGGGTTGGGAAATGGATGGAGTGCCTCGAATTTCGCTGTGTTGGTAGGTAGGGCTTGTATGCTAGTCATTCTCCGTCGCACGTCGCGCTCAACGAGGACTGCATTGCCTGCGGCGTCGACCATGGGGTTGCCGGCGGCATCTTTGGAGGGGATGTGATGTTTTTGGGTTACAAGCTTGGATTGATGACGGTAGCCGCCGTTTATGAGGAGATGGATTGAGTTGAGGTACGATGTTACTGTCCGGGTTGTTTGCTGGATCTGGGGCCTAGCATCTCGTCAGCACGTGTCTCGCTGGGTATAATGATCGTCCAAGTTCCGCACGGCCAGACTGGCTTGGAAACACGTAATAAACGGAGATATCTCATCGCGCGTACGGAAGGTATGAGACGCGAAAAGATGACACCGGAAGACGCGTCACGAGACAAAGCTGTATAACAAACACACCCGCACACTTACCAATCTACAATCTCGCCCCGACTCATCTTATACTGCATCTCGGCCTGCAACCGTTCCATACCCTTGATCATCGGCATCAACTGACTGCGCAGCTGATCCAACAACCTAATGTCCTCCCGATCGGGCGCACCCTGGAAGTTTTGATTCATCTTCGCCTATGCTTTCCTGCTCTTTTGCCTGCGTCCCAACTCTTTTCCACTAATGATAGACTGACTTTGTAGGACTGCAGGGTGTTTGTTGGAGATTAGGGAAGGCTAATGTGAAGATGTGGAGGTGCTTGAAGATGGGTGGAGTGATTGGTTGATGGATGGGCATTTAACACGAGACGCTTGTATGTATCGGGCTTAGTGTACTTGGCACCCGAAGAAGCTTGGGGAAGGGACCTCGGGGGTGACTTCAAATCTTTTCCACGTACTGTATTGACGCACTAGGTTTCGATTCGTCCCAACTGAATGCAAGACGAACTACATACTGGCAATGACAGGTGATATGCAAGAAAGAGACCTGATTACTTGGCAAAGAAAGCAGCCAGCGCTCCGACCATCCCTCTATTACACCCGTCCATAGCCTCAACTCTCGCGTCCACTCATCAGACCTTCTCTCCAACAAGTGCAACAACACTAGCGAAACCCGCTTCAGGCTTAGGCTGGACAGACAGCTTCCCCTCATCGGCGTACCAGGTAGCCGTGTGGGTAATGTCACTCTCCTCGTCCGCGTTCCTGTTGACGGCAACGGGAATACCAAAGAGGCGAATGCTTCCGCCGCTTCCGACATGGCTGGAAAACTCGGTGATCGCGTCGCCAGAGAATTCAACTTCGAAGGCGAGGTTTGAGACGACGACGAACTTCACGACGCGAGCCAGACCCTTGACTTCGTCTGGGGCGTCACTCTTGAGTTTGTAGGTGGAATTGTCGCGGATGTCCCTGTGTCTTGAGTGAGCGACTGTCTGGGTAATAAGTTAAGAGTGGATGGAGGGAAGGGATGTGCACGTACCACCTTCCCGATTGAACGTCAATCGCGCGGAATTGATCGTCCCAAGACATGGTGATTGTAGTGTGGACTTGATCTCCGTCGGTGAGCACGGGCCCCTCCTCCGATTGACCGTCGTTGACATCCAGAGAGAGCCAAGGCACATAGTGATCACCGCCTCCATTCGTGTGGTTGAAGCCATTCTCATCAACGCTGTTTCCGGTGTTGAAGTCGAAAGACACTTCACTGCGCGACTTGTTGGCATCGCCCCGATTCCTCAACCAATTCATCACCTGCTCAAGGTAGTTCGCAGCAGAGTAGAATGGAACATGGTAGTCGGCATTGGGTGGTGCCATGGCTTTGTTGGCCTTGATCTGCTGTAGTATGGCGTCGGCATCCGAGGCACCAAGGGCGGTGACGGGCATGTTGATGCTGGACCAGCTGTCAGATCTTGGACCATTGTCATGAACACTATTTAGCTTACCCTGGGCGCGGCTGAGGATCAACAGCAGCTTGCATACGTTTTTTGTCCTGTACGTACGGCACTGCACTGCCGCCATAGGTTTGCATTGTGAACATGTCGGTTTGAGATACAGCGTTGTTGTAGTGCGCCACCGATGCCTGGAGTTGTGGTTGATTCTGCACGCTCCAGGAGGTCCAGGTCTCATCGGGAGCAGCGTAGTCGCTCTTGTACTTCTCCTATCGTGTTCTGGCCTTTCTTGTGGCATCATCCAACGCATTTCTTGCTGCTTCTTGGTTCATAATTGCTGCGTGCAAGTGTTGCATTTGAGCGGAACTTGGATTACCGCCCTAATTTATTCAATCAGCATTTTTCCTGCTATGTGGGCGATGGTATTGCTTACCAGATCAACGTGGTCCATGTACTCCAGAAGCGCACGGGAGAATGACTTTTTCTCAGACGGGTCGTAGAATAGGTTGTCGGTGTGCAATCGACTGTCGCAGATCTCATACAGCCCCTGGTTGGTGTACTTTGGATCAACCAGATTGGGAGGACCAGCAAGCGGTGCACGTTGAGGCCTAGTGCTGAAGAAGTAGGCAGCATTATTGTCAACATCATCCCCAAGTTGATTTCGGATGGCATCGCAGTAAGCAAGCCAGAATGACTTGTTGACGCCGTTTGAAGACATTTTTGGTGGGTCAATTAAGAAAAGTTGAAGAAATATTGTGTGCAGTACAATGTATGGTGCAGTGCAGAAGTGCTCTCGGATATGTCATTGTATTGTCACGGGAAAAATGATGCTTTATGTAGCAACAAGTCTCTTGGAAAGAGCGAACCCAGAACAGTAATGTGCTACCAACACTTCGCCGAGTCGCCGTAACAGTGGTCCGTTTGGTGCGAATCCCATCGCAGATCACGACAAAGAGTCAGGAGGTCAGCTGAAGACGCTGTCACGATCCTGTCTGTCGGCTCCATTTATGTGGAAAGTGGAGAATCACACTGCGCAAGTGCAACTGAGTAGCGAGTGCAAGACGTCGAATTCCGAGATACTGATTGAACAAGCTGAGGTCGATTTCACCATCGCTGTGTAGCTCATGCGACTGGTCGAATCGTAAACTTAAACTTGAGGCATTCGGCATATGTACGGAACTCATTGGCGATGGCGCGGCGCAACTGGAACTGAGCCAAGCCTGAAGAGGACAGTATCTTGTAGCTCCTGTCCTAGACGCATATGCTTGCATTTGCAGATGATGTCAGACCACGAATTGGAGAACGATTCTGAGGGTAACTCGAGTCATGGCGGATGCGATGATGTCGGCAGATCTCCCCGATGTGGGTAGAAACCTTGGGAAGAAGAAGCAACCATAAGCGAAGGGACAGCGCAGCTGCCGGAGTGTTGTTCGGACTGGCCGGCACTAGTGAATCAGTCCGATGTTGGCGTGGTCTTTATCCGTATCGTTTCGACGTGGGATCATGTTCTGTTGTTGTGACCTAGACATCCCCGGCGGTCTAGCAGTTCATCCATGGATAGCTGCGGCTGGCACAGGTTTGCAGTGCTTCGAATCGCACTGCTCGAATGGTACCCGCTATTCACCCTATCGCTTATGAACCTCTCAAAGATGAAGACTGGAAGATGGCCAGGGTAGACGCGCACTCTGATCAGCGCGGGCCGGCAACCTGGCCAAGCTGAGAAATGCGCATTTGTTGCACGATGTCACCTTCTGACAGAACGTGGCAGTCGGCTCTAATCGATCTCTCTGCGGGTGAGGCGGAACCAGCCTGCTTGCTGCCGTGCGGATCATCCGCTGGTCGCAGGTGTGGATGTGATCAGCGGAGTGCGGGTACTAGCCCACCCGCTAGTGCATCAACAACCCCAAAACACCTTCAGGGCTCCTTCTGTAAGCGACACCATTGTCCGAGAATGGACAGCATTGACCAAGAGCTTTCGGGTAAGTGCATTTCAGCACGTCACAATGCTGCAGACGAAGATCAACATTACCCCTCCTCTAATTGAGAACGTGGGCCGCATTCCTTCACTGCATACGTCCTATGCAGTGTGATTCCCTGGGATTCGGGGATCAGGGGTTTTGGGAAGGACTAGGTCTTCGTATAACTGCGATCACTATTACTGGAGATCCCATAGGTAGTGTGTAAATCTTTGTACCTGTTAATCCTAGCGATGAGTGCGCGGAGTTGAGAAGTGTATATCATTCTTTATTGTAATCCTCAGCACTGAGCTCACACCATTGCAGGCAGCGTCGACGTAGTCACCGGTAGTTACATATGAGTCGCAGAGCTTGGATAGTGTTCATTCTTCGTATTGATCAGCGACCGTGATTTCATATCTACATAGCGCTTCATATCATGTCGACATCCCTGGGTATTATTTCCACCAAACCACCCTTCACTTTCAATTCCTCCCGAATGTTCTACACAATGCCAGCATGTACCAACCCAGTCGAAGAAGATATTACATAGATGTGTACGTGTCGTTGTCGTGATGCGTCCAGGCTTGCGCCGTTCTTTGTAGTTGTTGTTGTAATGCTAAGCCGCCATTTTGCTATGCAAGCTGAGTGAAAGAAGAACAGAACGAGGGTATAAGGGAAAGTCAAACGCTTGAACGCAGCAGAACGCCAGTGAAACCCATAAATACAAGAAACTCATTACGAGTAGTAGTGAAGGAAATAGCCACCAGGACTGTGAGAGCGCAGCTCGGAAGAATTGAAGATGATGTTCAGACGCTGACGGTTCGTCGGACGCCTACCTCGGGCTTCTTCGCGTAGCCGATGAGGAGTTTGAAGCTAGTGCCGCGCTTCTCGCACTCGTTGATGAGGCTTTGGTCGCGCCAGATGCTGGTCTCCAGAAGGTTGCCGGAAGTAGCGGCGCCAGGCTGGCCGGCCTCAGGTAGGACGAGCGACTCGTAACAACGTGAGTACCACCATCGACCTACGCGCGCCACCATGTCGGTGATGCCGGTATCGTTCGATTCGGAGGACGAGGTGGCGTTGAGCAGATCGGAGAAGGATACTTCAGGCTTGGGACATTTTGGTGCAGGCATGTTGTTTGTCTTGCTAGAAGAGCTGGCTGTGCTGCCCTTCCTCTTCGTGATGTTCTGCTTGACGTCATCGAGGTTAGGTAGTTTGCCGGCGACCGGAACGCCGACAACGCAGCGATTGCACTCAACAAAACCCTTGCGCCCGATGCCAGCCATGACTTCGTCACTGATGTTGCGAAGCGAAATGCTTTCATCTGCGACTTGCATCCTCATCTTAAGCCCACGAACAGCGCGACGAGCACGGTTGCCCATGTTGACTAGGTCCATGTCAAGGACTGAGAACTCAAGGTACCCACCAGGTCTAAGGACGCGCTTGGCTTCAGACAGGATGAAGCGGTGTTCCGACGAGGGAAGTGCAGTGGGGAAGCGAAGCACGACGCAGGCGAAGAAGTGCATGGGAAACGGGAAGGCCTTGCCGAGAGAGGGGTGGTAGATGTGACGGTGGTTGCTGAGTGTTGACAATGGCTCAGAAGCGCCCTCGGTTGATGCAGTGGGTGATGGATCGGGGCCCATGTCATAGACAGTCGCTTCAGGGTATGTGAGTGCGCAGTAGTAAGACCAGTCTTTGCCAAGACCATCGATGACAAGTACGCGGTCCTCGCTTGGGTCTTTCAATTCAAAGTGCACGGGGCTGAACAAGACGCGTCCGAACGAGAGCCACTTGCTTGTCATGAGAGCGCCAAAGCGAAGGTTTGCCATCGACAAGAGCCCGTCCGCCTGGCTTTCGGCAATGTCCATCATGCGTGTGTCGCGGTAATGGGTGGTGCTGGCACTGTCGCGATCTTTGCTGGACCTTGAAGCAATGGTGGCTTTGGACTGTCGAGCACTCTGCGACAACGAGGCTGGGAGACTGGAGCGAGTCGAACGCTTTGTAGCAGTCCCAGCCGATAGCTGAGGACTGGAAGGTAAGCTCAGTCTGCCAGTAACAGGGTCAATGACGCTGATCTTGCGCTCGCCGTAGTCAGAGATGAACTCCGAGAAAGAGATCGACGACGTAGGTGACTGCGTCGAGTGCAAAACAGCAAGTAGACGAGAGCGACGAAGATGAAGTGAGGGGTTCGCAACTTCATCATTGTCTGATCCTGAAATGTTGCGCGGGGCTTTGGGTCTCAAAGGCATTGGCTCGAGAGAAGGGTGACTGCGAAGGCTGTTGTTGTCTTCCTTCGTGCGAGAGGTGACAGGCGAGAGCACCTGATCGATCAGGTCGTCATACTCGTTCCAGAGTTCATCGTCTGAGAGCGGCGCGCTAGGACTCGGTACGACAGCGGTACCAGCAGCAGGTGCAAAGCTCCAGATACCTGAGCTACTTGAGTAGGATACCTCGGAGTCTTTACGAGGTGGGAACTTGAAGAACTCGCTCCGACGATTGGCCTCATCTTCCATAGGGCTAATAGTAGCGATAGCCGATCCATGGGTCAGAGCGGTTAGACCGTGCAGAATAGGATATGGCTCCACCGGACCAGCAGTTGCGACAACAGATCCAATGGAATCGAAAGATGTTCGTGGGGGAGCTGTTGGACGAGGTTGGTTCGACACAAAAGGACGAGAGAACGAACGCGAAGACGGGCGAGGTGCCTGACGACGACTAGATACGACCTGAGGGATACGGCCAACTTGCGCCAAGCGACTTGGTCGAGGGGGTGGGCTCGTAGGCGGCGGACCAGGTGATGGAAGATTCTGAGGAAGAACAAATTCTTCTTGTGCGGGTGCATCATGAACTGGCTCTTGCTCGGGCTCGGGCATGTGAGAGGGAACTGCTACATCCAGCGGCGGTGCAGAGCCTTCGTCGCGCATCGGCGAAGGTTCATGAAACGGTGATGAGGGTCGAGAAAGGTCCGTAACAGGGGTCAGGTCACCCAGCGAGTAGCGCTCAGAGTTTCGGGAAACGGATCGAACATTCGTGTCGATACTCAACTTACTCTGTTGCTGTTCCGGTTGTTGTTGCGCTTCAGAACGTAGAAAGACCTTGGGCGAAGCCGAGCGGGGTGCTGTCAGGGTAGATGGCAACACTGGTTTAGGTGGGAGAAGCATGGACTGCATTCGCTCTTTCCTTCCTGGTTCGTCATCGGAGAGGGCGCTCTCAGTCCCCTCATCGACCTCCTGCATCAACTGCTCAATGTCGTCCAATTCAAGCCCGGACTGGTCCATCAACGCGTAGTGTGCGACGGAGCGAGAAACAGTTGCTTGGTTGGAAGGGCTGGCGGTAGGCGCAGCTGGTGTTGGGGCGCGTGGTCCGGCATGGGCACGTTGAAAGAAGTTCCATCTTTTTGAAGGCTTCGGCGCCTCCTTCTCAGCCTTGCCTTTCTTGGACGACTTCAACCAAGAGCCCTCTTTGATATCAGCGGCTGTCTCGCTTATCGAGCCCTTGCGGATCTTCCCAGTGATCCGGCTGTTCGACCCTGACGGTGCGCTAGGGCCCTGTGCGCTTTGTAGAGCTCGTGACGTCCGTTTCGAGGCCATGGAGGGTAGGAAGGATCTCTTGGTATCGTCATCACTCTCGGAAGGTCTTCGCAATCCCATAGTCATCTTCTTCATCGGGGATCCATTGCGTGAACTGTCCGGCATAGCAGAAGGCAGCAATGTTGGTCGGTTCTTCTCAAGGGCTGACTGAGATGTGTTGCTCACTGTCTTGT